ATCTTATATCTTATCTTATTTTCTTCTTACTCTATTGAAAGAGTATTTTATTAAGAAATAAATTTACATATATTATCTTATTGAGAAGATAATCATTTTTATTATAAGTAAAACTCATATATATTATCTTATTGAGAAGATAATTATATTTTTATTAGAAATAAACCTTATATATCTCATCTTATTAAAAAGATAACCAGTTGTATAATCTCTTGAAATTATAAAAGTCAATAATTACCATGAACACAGTCACTATTACTATTTTAAAATAATTATATACGCATAATCTTAAAATGATAACAATACAAATAGTGTAAAATAAAAATCTAAACTAAAAGAGATCTAAAAGAAGATAACTCAATCAAAATTATTATAATTATCTTTTCTTTTTAGAATATCTATCTTATATTTTTATTTTATTTTATTATTTGTATTATCTTTTAATTTATCATATATATTTTATCTTTTTATTTTACTTATTTATTTATTAATTTTTTATTCTAAAACTTGTAATTATAAACTAAAATAGTAAATAAGTTATAAATAAAGTTTAGATAAAATCTGTAAGATCTTAAAGATATATAAATATTTCTGCTCTCAAATATAAAATAAATATATTTGAATAGTAATAATTTAATTATTCTTGAAAATACTTGAATTATACTTATCTTATAATTTTTTCTTAATTTTTATCTTGATATTTTGCTTTTAATTACTTTTTTTATTATAATAGATTATATTTTGGTTAATCACATATTTTTCTTGTCTGAAAAATATAAATAATAGATATTTTTTACTTAAAATAAGTCAAGTATATTTTATTTAATTTATGGAGATTCTTATAAGCTTTCTTATATATAAAAGTTTTGACTTATTTTTGATATATACTCTTTATTTATCTAATAATTGAAAAAATATTATTAGAGAATTTAGTTAATATACTAAATTTTTTATTTTAGTTATAATATTTATGATCTGGTGCATTAATATCTATATCTTAATTTAAAAGATTTTTATTTGTATAATACTAAAACCACATGTAATAATCCAAATAAATCTATTTTCACATGATAAAATAATTATATATAGATATATTTTTTTTTGCAAAATTCATCAATTCTTTATATCTAGTTCTTGCGTAAACTGAACTTCCATACCACTAATAGTGAATGAAAAATGGATGATATTAAATATCTACAGATACTTTTCTAGGGCTATATCCATAAATAAATAAAATAAAAACATATTATTATGCAAGCAAATTGGTCTGGTTTTGGAAGTTGCAGAGAGTATGGTTGAGATTATGTTGTCTAATTAGAACCAGCATAATGATGATACATTTATATTACATCAAAATCTTGGATGGTCTAAATTTTAACTAGACAAAGATATTACATCACTTTTGCAAGCTTACATTATGAATAGCAATAAGATAAGATAACAACTTTCCATATCTTTCTTATGATAATTTCTTTCTGAACATGAGTACATACTTTCCAAGTGGCAACTTCTTCAAATACTACAGTGATTGGGCTATTATTATAGATAGGAAGAATGAAAAAACATCCTTCATGAGTCATTAAATAATATTGCATTTCACTATCATTATCTTCATTACCATTTTGCTAACCTAGAGGGTAACAATAATGTTTTATATCTTCTGGAAGTTTTTCTTGATAAGTTGTATTGTTATTTGCATCACATATCACTAAAAACATGAATATCTCATAAGGATATTGTTTCAATACAGAGACATGGTCTATTATTAATAATTTTTGATACAATTATCATTTTTCAAAATGATAGCAGTAATAAGATACATGGTGAGCTTGTGCCAAATTCTGTTTATCTTTGAGATCCTGCAATTAAACCTCCTAAAACTCAAGGATGAAAATGACATAATGCCAAAGAATAGAATAATATTTCAGATATTATTAAAGATACCAATATTATTCCTGACCAAGTGGATTACCATGAAAACTTTAATACTAATATTTTTGAAAATCTTTTTGCAATACTTTGTGAAATAATTAGTAAAATATATGGCTAAGTACATATTTATATAGATAGCACACATTACTATAAGTAAAGAATCAAAAATATCTCAAACTCAAGCATCAAAAAAAATAAAATAGCCGACTGGTTAATAGCTCATGAAATTTTTTTTTCCTAACAGACTATGCAAATCTGAGCTTCTAGAACTTGTGCAGAAAAATAAAGAAAAAGTTCCATTTACTTGTATTGAGATAGCAAAACAACATGATCATGAAGTTTTTTTTACATCTCCTTACCATTGTGAGCTTTAGCCAATTGAGAGTGTTTAGATAGTAATAAAAGATGAGATAGTGAAGTCAGATCCATATTTAAATCTCTTAGATATTAGGAACAAGCTTTTAAAGAAAAAATAATATCAAAAGTAATAGTAGGATTATGGAAAAGAACACTTACAAGAGTTAAAGAATATAAAGAATCAGATAATGATGTAATTTTATTAGATGAGAAAATAGATGATGATGATAATCTTGATGATGATGATGATCTTGATGATAATGATGAATTTTAATAAAATTTTTATGATATAATAAATCCAAATACCTATTCATTTTTTATTTTTTTTTTAAAAAAAAATTTATATATAGAAACTGATTTTATTAAGATTATTGTGAGATACAGATATTTTTATATTAAATCATATTTTAGTTTTAGATACTTACCCTTAGTTTAGTTTTTGTGATTATAACTTTCTTTTTATTTTATTTTATTTTTATCTTATATTAATATAATACTTATAAGTATTAGTATTAAAAAATCTTTAGAATAATTATAATCCTATTTATCTTTATAAATAATTTAGTCTTTATTTTTAAAACTTATTATAGATTATATTTTTGATAAAATCTATTTTCATAAATATAGTTTATAATATTTGATATCCTCTCTATAAAATTCAAATCTCCAAAAATCTCTTTTAATTTATTTTTATTATTTTTATTTATTATTCATTTATTATTTTAAGAATTAGCTATTCTTGAAATATTTATTATCTAAATAATTAATTAGTTTATAAATATATATTACTCTTTTATTAGACTTCTAATTAATCTATATCTTAGTAAATATAACTAAAAAAATTCTTGAAAATTTTTATCTTATATTAAATCATATAATTATTACTTTTACTATTATCAAAACTCAGATAAAAGATTTGTAAATTTTCTTATTTAGACTCAAGATTATTATATAATCTTTTATAATAGACTATCACAGAAACTTTTTGATAATATAGTACAATAAAATTTTATATCTAATCAATTTTAAAGAGAAATTATCAAGTTACTTAATATTTCTATTTGATATAAAAATTATAGTTAAATAACAAACTTATCTAGTTAATAATATTTTTTTAGTTCTTAAAAAATAGATAATTTTAAAACTTCCTTAACCAATTAGTTAACTGAATTAAAATATGAAAGCAATGATTCTAAAAATTCTAAGAAATTAATAATTATAATCAAAAAAATTCAATATCAAAATTCTTATTCAAAAAAAGAATTAATTATATTAAATAGAATAGAAAATTTAATATAGAGCTAACTTAATTTATGAAAATTTAAAGAACAGAAAAGATTCTTATTTTAATTTGTAAATTTAGAGATAATGATCAGAATTCTATTAAATAATTATATAATTTTGAAATAGTTACAAAAGCTAATAAAATTACTAATGAAAGAAAGATTAAGATAATAAAAAAATATCTAGAGAAACTAGCTATTATTTAATTTAATCAATAAGCTATAAGTAATACTCTTAAATTAACTAAATAGACTAATAATAATTATAATAAATATGATTTTACTTACTATTTTATTCTTAAATTTTATTTATCTCATAAGATATAATAATGATAAGATGAATTAGAATTCTTAAAGCAAATTAAAATTATAAAAGAATATATTAATCAATTTATGAAACTTAAAAATAAAGTAGATCTAGAAAAAATATGTCCAGAAGAATATAAGATTTGAATTTTCAAGAAATATCTCAAATCTAAAATTCAAAAATGGATTAATCTGAATACTAAAAATATTATAGAAAGTATAATTAAAACTATAAAGAATATTAAAAAAGCTGATTCAGATTCTTTTGAACAAATCTATTACTAAACTTAAGCTTAATCAACTAGTAAATGAAATATTCTTGTTAAAATTTTACAAGATCTAATCAGTAAATTAAATTATATAGAATCTGATAGAAGATATAATAATCAAAATAATAATAATAATTAATAATAAAATTAGTCAAGAGATAAATTTAAGAAAAAGAATATGTTAGTAGAGTATGTTCAACTATCTCTTAATCTGAAATTCATAATCTAATAATCAAAATATCTCTTGAAACTAGAATAATCAAAATTAGAATAATAATAATAATAATAATATTTAGCAAAATCAGAATACTCAAAATACTAATCAGTAATCTAATAACTTTCAAAATCTGGATACTACTTTTCTTTTGGTCCAAATTCAGAATTTAATCACAGTTCTATAAGTATCTATTGGTGATTCTTTAAGTAATTTATCTACTCAATCTAGTTTTTCTTTATTAGTAACTCATGATTATCTTGCTAAAGAAAGAAAACATGCAAGAATTGCTAAAGAAGAAGAAAAAAGTGAAAAAAATAAAGCTACTCAACCTTTAGCAGAAGTCTCTGAAAAAGACAAGACTAATCTAAAAAAAAAATAAAAGAAAAAAAGAGCTCATCTTTTTATTCTTGCAAAAAAAGCAAAAACTTATGATATACTTAAAGATTTGATATCTCAGAAAGCTAATATCATTATTATTCAACTCATTAAGATATCTTTTGAGCAAAAAATTCAAATATCAAAAGAAATAAGAAAGAAACTACAAAAGAAATTAAAATAAAAAGTCATATTTACTCAGAAGATCAAAACTATCTCAGCTTGATATGAAGCCAAAGTTGACAAAACTCTCTAAGCAAGACATCGACGCCAAGCATAATTCTACACGTGATACCATGTTTAATGAAATTCTTGCCAATCGTGATGCCCGACTCATCACCGAACTTGCCGATCGTGATGCCAGATTCGTAACTGAACTCACCGATTATCGTGCCAAATTTAACGCTGAATTTACCTTACGCGACGAAAAATTTACAGCAGAGATCCAAAGAATCTTGACAATGATTAATACTTCTACTGCAAAATTTGATGAAATCGAACAAGTCCTTCAAACCTACCATAATAATTTCGGTAGAGTCGCAGCTGAATTCGAATTAATCAATGGATCTATCTCAATGCTCCAAAACGAAATCAATCGATATTATGCCGTTGTCCAGGCACGAAGTGACATTTCTCCAGAAATAAGAATCGAACCTATCGAAGAAGCGGAACCTGGAGACAATGCAAATCAATCCGAAGCCTCCGATTCGAGCCAACGATCATTTTCGGATACGACTTCAGAAATCTGGAACCAATTTAAAATTATTTTTGATAGAATTATGGCAGAAAGAGGATGTTCTTTTGACGATATGTGTAATATTGTAATGATTGATCTTCTTAATCTTAGGGTGGGAAAACTTAGTAAAGATATAATCAAAAATTATTATCGTAAAATTAATGATTTAAGAGGTAGCAACTTAGATAAAATAGGTGCTTGGATCGATAGCAAAACAGTTAATAGTGAGTAGCGGGAAAGGAACTCTCATTTTATGGGTTAGGGCTCGAGATGTTTCCTCCCTTGAAACTCGCTACTCTATCATTTTAATCATTTTAAAAACAATAAAGTTTCACCCGAACTGGGCTTTGACAAAATGTAAAATGAAGCTTTATTATGCAATTAATAACATTAAGTGCCTATTTAATGAATATACTAGCATTTTCCCGAATATAACATTCTATTGAGCGAGAATGAAAGGTTACAGTATTTTTTTCTGGATGATACGCGAATACATTGGTTTCCAAGACTTCATTGGCCTCCTGGCGCGTTTTGAAAAATTCCTCAAATGCAGTACGGCTAAGCTCTCCGGAATCCCGCAAAGCACCGATGATACGTTTTCCTACTTCATGATGTTCATCGTCTTTAAGAAGTTTTGCAGTTCTGAATTTGTCTTCGACTTTCACTAAAATTTCGTGTTCAATAACTGCAAAAGCAATGAAGATATTCAAAGAATGAAACAACAATATCTTTTGTTAAAAGCAGAACCACGTAATCAAAACTAATTCTACCTTCAATGGATATTCCTTTCAGATATTTATCTGTTACAGACTTCAGATCTACAATGCGTCCACCAACCAAATCAAATAATTTCTCTGCTTCCGTGGTATCGATCTTGCCCTCCTTGACAGTCTTGATTCCACGCTTATTGATAAGGTAGTTCAATGATTCTTCTCTGGAGAGATCACCAATTTCGATTGGTGCTTCTGCACGTGACCAAGAACTACGTGCTAATAAATATGCCTGTAAATAAGTAAATAAGATAACCAAAAAAAACCTTGTTAGCACTTACACTGCATTCTTCGAGGAACACTTCCTTCGCTACTGACGAACACGACAATGTATC